ATTCTCCCTCTGAGCTGGAGGACATCCAACTGTGATTCCCATCCTTCTTCCAGGGAGGCAGGACTTCCAAGAACTTCCTGTTTCCTGGTGGGAGTCACCCTCATCCTCAGTTCTTTTCCTGCCTCAACAGGGAGAGCAGCGCGTTAGGCTTTGTCACACCTTTTCCGCTGCGATAGCTCTGCCATTTAACCTTCTGCCGCTCCGCTGTAATAACTCTGCCTTTTAAATCTATTTCTGCCGAGCTCCGCTGCAGTACTCTGCCTGAATTCCGATCACGATCGGATCGGAGGCCGCTCCGCTGCGCCCACTCTTCAGGGCTCCTTGCCGTTCCGCTGCGATAGCTCTGCCATTTAACCTTCTGCCGCTCCGCTGTAATAACTCTGCCTTTTAAATCTATTTCTGCCGAGCTCCGCTGCAGTACTCTGCCTGAATTCCGATCACGATCGGATCGGAGGCCGCTCCGCTGCGCCCACTCTGCCTATAGCCACAAGCGCCGCAAGCGTGCGGCACACGGGGGCCATTTTTCCTCTCCATCGAGCACAATGGACCCGGAAGCAGACGACGGCTTCCTAACATTCCCGAGCAGCCGGACTCGGGCCGGGAAGGAGTGGATCGCGGGGCAAAACACAGCAGCAAGAAGCCCGGCAAAATGGCGCGAACAAGGAAACGCGCACAGGCCCGGGACCTCCGCCGCGGCAGTCGCGGCGGCCATTTTAAAGCCGCCTTCGGGCGCCCTGGCTCCGGGGGGCACTTCCAGCTGCCGATCCCTGCCTGTATCGCCCGCAAACGCTAATGGGCGCGCACAAAGCTCGGCCTCGGCTAATGAGCACCTGACCGGCAGACCAGCGGAACGGAGCTTCCGTGACGCCGGAACCACAACCACGGCAGACTATGGGGAGGACGACGCGGCCGAGACGGACGAGGCTACAACTGGTGATGTACCCGACCGCGTTTCCCCCTTGACCCCCGAGGCCATGGCCTTCCTGCGGAACACTATTTTAGAGGTGATGGATAGTAGTCGGGAGGGGAGGAAGAGGCGCAGTTCCCCCCACAACGAGCCCCACAGCCACCCCAAATGCCCCAATGCCCGAGGAGGGACCAGGCCCGGCTACAACCCTAGGGTGGTTATTCAAGATACGCACGGGGAGGAGGATGAACCTCCAGGCCCTGGCGAGGAAGAGGAGGAGGAGGAAGGGGAAGCTCCTCAGGCGAGGAGGATGCTGCCCCCAAACCGCCTCCTCAGGAGCATACCCATAGGTTTTTTCAGGCGGAGGACTTACCATACCTATTATCAAAAACTCTGTCCGCCCTCCACATTCAGAATCTCCGCCCCCATCCCTTAAGATCCGAGGCGGGGGAAGAGGAGGAGGAAGGGGACGAAGTCACTGACGAATTCTTTCCACCAGTGGATTATTCTGAGCTAGCCTTCCCCTTCCCGGCCTATTACGTAAGAAAGATTAAATCTGAATGGGAAAAACCCTTTGCGCCAAAGTCGTACCCACCCTCGCTTAGAAAGTTATACCCCACCGCTTCCTTGGTGGCTGGCATGTTAAAGATACCAACAATAGACGAGCCGGTGGCTGCCCTGCACTCCTCCAACCTAGTATCTGAGGAGGGGCACGGCAACGTGCGCAACACCATGGACAAGAAGGCGGAGATGGCACTAAAGAAGGCGCACGAGGCGACTGCCATGACCATTAAGGCTTCAGCGGCAGCTTCTACCGTCTCCAGAGCAGCCATAGTGTGGATGCGTAAATTAATACAAATGATGCCCGAGCATGATACTAGACTCATGGAAGGGGCCTCCAGGGTACTGAAGGCCATCTCCTATACGGCAGATGCCACACTGGACTCAATGGTTTTCTCGGCTCAGGCAATGGCGTCCGCTGCTGGGGTCCGCTGCTTGATATGGCTTAGGTCATGGCAAGCCGATTTTCAGTCAAAGGCTATAGTCACGGCCTACCCCTTTCACGGGAAGAAACTCTTCGGAGAAACCCTGGATAAAATACTGGTCGAAACCAGGGATAAGAAAAAGGCGATGCCAAAGTCAGTCAGGGTAGGGGACAAGCA